AGTACCGACTGCCGGTACGAAGAAGCATTTTTTGCATAATTCTCCGCTGATTTTTGTCGCGAACGTTCTCCGGCAGATACTTCTAGCTAAACGAATTTGAGACTGACGTCAGGAAACATCCTTTTAAAATTTCAGCTTCCCAGGTTCCCAAGTTAGCAACTTACCCAAAAAAAAACTTTCACTGGCCGGTATGTGGGAACCACCCATACACCGGGCGCTGGGTCTGAGCTCATTAGTACCTACTGGACGGCGAACATCCCCTTAAAGTTCCAGTCTCCTAGCTTTTCAGGTTCCCGAATTAGCAACTTATCTGAAAAAAACTTTGGTGCGCCGCACTTGGCTGCCACGCGGGTAAGGACGCCCATTTTAAGGATGGGGCCCATACATGCACGCAGACGAAGTTTCCAAAGTTCCAGCCTTGTAGCTTTTGTAGGTCTCGAGATGCAAAATCGGTACAAACGAACACACAGACACAAACACACAACCAACCCCTCATCAATAAGCGTTTTTTGCGTTGCACAGATGCAAAAAGCGTATAAAAAAGGTCAGAATGATTCTGTGCAGGTCTGGGGATATCTGTGGGTAAAATACGCTCATGCGTGGCTGCTAACTTGTAGTACCATTGCCGTTGTTTCAGACTCAAGATCAGCAAGAATTAAAATGCAGCTTACAGTAGTAGATGCTATTTGGTAAAGCAATACAAGTATAGGGGAAAAACCCGCAATCCACTCACGCTCCAGTCCTGCGCATCTTTTCAACAATTAGTGGAAAACTGCAGCTGAATTTCAGCGATCCTAATTTCTTATCTGCAACCCTAACACTGCAACGACAACTGAGCTTGCTTCTAATCTAAGTAGCAAATAGTGCGTGAAAACGTTACCCCAATCTTTGCTTTTGCGAAAATTTCAAAAAATAAACCCTAACACTCCTTCTTAGAATCCTTTTAACAGCACAGAGGACTTCTATCGCTCGGGTGAACACTTCTTTAATGTTCACACATTCAAACATTACTTGAGCTGCCCTATTTTTTGCAGAAGAAACAAGCTGATCGGGCTCACCGATTGAGGCAAAAGCGCCTACTTTTCTGGTTTGGCTCGACTGTACCGCAGAATCAGGACAATGATGTGGCCAGACAATCCGGGTCATTTCCCTCAAAGAATATCTTAAATCGGACGGTCGGGGTTTTTTTGATTATTATTTCAGTCTTTTTTTTAATATTGTCTTATTTTATAAACTTTTCTGTGACCTCGATCGTCATAATGACCAGGCTACAATCAGGGAGCCACAGAGACACACATGCACACATACACACGCACGTGCACACACACACGCACATACACACACACACAAACAAAGAGTTTTCGCCCATCCAAGCTTTATCTGTAAACAACAAAAAAAAAAAA